GTAAAAGAAATATAATCGACAGACCTTTACAAAAACTCTATCCATTGGAGATACGGTGCGCAAACACGGAAGAAGACAAGGTAAAGCCAGCGCGCGGAGACGAAGGTAAGACTGAAACGTTTGAACGGACAACGTCCAAGAGGGCTGCGGCAGTTATTGCTAACGACCGGATTGGCCAGTATTTCGAGGACGAATAGAACACACTGGCCAATGGGGGGAGTGTACGAATTTGAGTAGGAAAATTGAATTTTTTTTTTTTTTTTTTTTTAGAAATTAAGGGATATAAAACTTATTGTTTTTATGGTTGGTTGGCGTAATAAAGGGAAATATAAGTAGAACAATCGAAGGTTTATACGAAAGATATGAATTATATTATCAAAAGTTAACAAACATGAAATTAACGGTATGAACTAATTTGAGCATGACGATTTCAATTATGGGGGTCCATTTCTACTGAATAAGAAGATAAAAATCAATAACGCTAACTCGGATCATGAATCACTTCAAACTTTCGGCCATAAATTACAGGTGCTAACTGATATAGTCTTTTTCATCAATGCCTAAACTTTAAGAAATTGCCGGTTGGCAGCTTGTAACAAACCATGCCATGAAATAAATTTTTGGCACATTCATTGTAACTAGTACTGTATATAGCCCTCATGAGAAGCAACTTTGTTTAAATTTTTCCACACTTTTAGCTTCAGTGTGGGTGAGACCTATAATATCTTCTCCTGCTTTCTACAGGGTGTACAAGAAAGGTAACCCAACATACTACCTAAACGGATAGCCCAAGCACGGATAATTTACCGAAATGTAAACTGGCCTTTACTTACCAGTACGGCACTAGTCTTTGGAACTACAGAAAACAATTCATTAATACGTCGTTGTCTACATTTATCGTTGTTTTCCAGAAGACGTTTGTGCAACCAATCTGGGTGACGACATCGTGGTACAGGATTTGAAACCTACGAAACATTACACAGTAAAATGTTGAAGGGGAAAATTGCAGTAAAAATCGCCAGTATAAAGGCCCTGCGATTTTCTTTTTCTGATGACTGTGAAGGAGTGGATGAATTACGAATGTTCTGATAAGGGAACATATATTCAGAACATTCAGAACTCATCTAATCGTTCTCATGCATCAGAAGAGAAAAATAGCATTAGAAATCGCACCAAAAATTGCAAGTGTATAAACGGACCTTAGAGAGGAATTACAAATCTCAATAATTCTTAAGCTCTCGTTTGGAGGAGAATGTTACCATAGCCTTGTTCTTTTCTCAGAACGCTAATCATTAACCATTAGCGCTAATCCAGGTTTTGTATACTTACTTCTTGTATAGCTGCAGGTATTGTGATAATCTTCTGAATAGCACTGTTCAATCTTTCTATGTAGTACTCCCAGTCTAAGATATTGCGAATATCAAAATTGGTTAACCCTGGACTTTTCAACCACCTTCGAAGATAATGTCTCTTTACGCCATCTTCTGTCTGAAATATCGCTAAAGGAATAGCACGCTCCGTCACAGGGGACCCTTCTGGTTTCTTCGCGATTATAAATTTACAACTGAGACCTTTATCTTTCACCATTTGATCTCCGAGAAATTCAGCTAGCCTTTTCGCTGTACTAATCGAAGTTGATTTCTGTGATCCATACTCTTCCAACTTTCGGGACATGCTTCGATTTTCACAAATGAGGTTACAGAGCTCAGTGTCAGGCATATTTGCAGCCTAAAGAATGACATAAAAAGTAATCAAAAACAGGACTCGTAGTTCACATATGTAGTAATTACGTGCAATTCAAATGAATCAAAATTTTACCATTTTTAACAAAAATATTGAAATTTAAAGCCAATATTATTCTCCGAAACCGGAAATGTTTGATGCTACTGTTGTGAAGCCACTTCCCATATGTAATGGTGAGAGCAGGATTAATAGGGCATGGTTTGCGAGCTTGACTACCTCGCTCCTCTTTTCGTGGGTCACGTCCCTCACATTGGACATGTCATTGAGCTCTGTCCCTTAAAACCCCGGTTTTGTTGTTCCAGAGCAACATGCGATAAATTTACTGACGCAGGGTTAACGCCAATCCAGCTTTGAACGGCAGGCAGGCCCCTGGAGGCACGGATGTAATGTAAATCGCATCATATATGAAAAGCACTCCAACTAACAATGCAGCAATATAATAAGCAGATGTAGTACCTGTGTATAAAGAACATCAAGCCAATAATTTGCCACCTTGCCAACAGCATTGTAAACCTCTTGTAAATTCGTTCCGAGCAGAAAAGATTCAAACACTGAAGACTGAAAATTTTTAATAAGTTGAAGTTCACCGCGTCGCTTTACTTCAAAACCTTTCAATTCAGCTAATGATCCGTCTTCGTTAAAAACGGCATATCTAAACATAGCAATACCTTATAATTACATACTATTACAGAAACTGGTTAATGAACAGCCAAGACCGCTTATTAACCTTATAAAACCATCGTATTTTAAATCGGTTAACGTACTCGAACTCCGCAAAGAGCCGCAAATATGAACTTAGGCTACGGTACCGGATAGCTTCAGGGATGGATCCAGCATGGCCTGGTAGGGGGGGCGGGGGGTGCTCTTCCAGCTCTGGTGCCGAGTTGTGTCGGTCATGTGTGCCGCCCGCCCATCAACTTGCTTCACTACTGCAAAGTCTTGCTTGACTACTGTATTTGAATTGTAATTGTTGTTCACAGTTCGCTTATCATCATGTTATTGCTCAAATTACTGTATCTCATTTTGTCTCTAATATTTTTTGCTTTATCATGAAAAATAGCACCCCCCCTGCACCCCCTCTGGCCAGGGCTAGAGGGAGGGTGCACCCCCCCCCAGTAAATCCATCCCTAGATAGCTTTCCGTAGCGACGTGAAAACACACCTATCCGTACCTTTTAGGAACGCTATTTTCAGAGGAATAATTGCAACAGAGAGATGTTGTTTCGCTCAGCTTCTGAAAGTTGTACATTCCGCATCAGATAGATGTTTTTTCGCGCCGCTACGGAATGCTATCCGGTATAGTGTAAACGTAGCCCAAGTGTTGATTCCGCCAACAAGTTTCGACCGGATCCGAATCTCTTAATTAAGGGACTCAAATTTGGTTCGATTCGAGGGGTGTATCACTCGAAGAACGTGTACGAGGTGTTTTCGGGATTTGAGAAGATTTTTAGTGATTTTCAGAGATTTTGAGGAATTTATTCAGGATTTTTGAAGATTATTTAGGGATGTATTTCGAGGCGTACGAGATATTTTGGAGTTTTTGGGTTACACCCCTCGGGTAGATTCACCCACTTCAAGACAGGTTCTTTGGGTTCTTTGACATATTGTTAACGGAAACGGTTTTGCACCAATGAGTACGTACCTTTTCTTAAGTTTCTTGCCTTCTTCTTTAGCAGCAGGTAATATCATCGCCTTGTAAGGACCATCGACCTGGAAAAAGACGTTAAATTGTCTTGTTTGTGATATTAACGTATATTGGATAAACATGTAAATTATTTTAAGTATATGTACAAGTACAGTAGATCAAGTAAATAAAGCCAGGGTCAGCTAAAAGGGTGCGATATCTTTCTAACAAATCTTTGTTTCATGCCCACACTTGAATCCTCTTCGACTGAGGATATTAAAATAGGACGGGAATATTGATTTACTTTTTATTATGGCAAAACAGCAATAGGGGACTAATGCCATTTGAGTGCATGGCAGGTAGAAGATGGAAGCAGTGGAAAACGGAAATTCAATTCTATTTTAATTCTTTATCGATAACGAGTCGCGGAACCGATCCAGAAAATGGATGATGAAAGTCGAAGATAAGAATGTATGCCATGGAGATTTTGAAACTGTTTAGCAATATGTACATGATACGATTACCTGGTGAGGAGGACAATCGCGAGGTCTGTGAGAACAAGAAAACATGTATTCGAGATCAAGTAAATCAAGTTGTTGACAAATGTAGCTAAATCAAATGGACTTAGAAGGAAGTTGTCGGAAATTAGTAAGCTAAACAGAGCTGCAGGCCAGGAGACTAGAAAGAGTTGGGTATGAGAAAATCAACATCGGAAGTCGAGGAAAACGGGTAAAAAGACGGAATATATTCAGAAAAGCAAGCAGAGTCAGAAGTGTTATGATTACTGTAGCCCGCACATTTTGTTCAATTTAGGTAAAAGTTGTCCAGCTGTTCCTGAAACCTATAAGCAAGGTAAGAGGATTGGATCTTTCACTGTTATCAGACGGAGAAACCAAGCAACTGAGGGTACTGCAACTGAATGGGAAATGTAAAGTCGAAGACAGGGACGACGACAAAGACGCCTTTCCAATTCAAACGAATGCAAGATACATGCAATGAGTGTCGTTATTGATCTTATTGTCGGAAGAGTAATTATGAAGAGCCTGTTCATCAATCCTGGCGAACAAAAACGTGGGAACACGTAAAGCAGCAAGGAGAAATATAAAAGTCGAAAGCTATATCCACACGCGTGTACGAAGCTACGCGATACTCTTAGATTATTCACATCCAGTGCGGTAGTGAAGAGACTGAAGCAAAATATATATGTTAGTTGTAAAGGCTGGGACATCCATACACTGGTAAAATATTTTTCTGTCACTGACCGAAGTAGATAAATATCATAAATAACGTATTTATTTTATTGATCGATAGCCGGGAAACTTTATTCAAATTCGAGTCAGTTGCGAACCACTCGCATGTTTGAAATCGGTGGTGTTGCGTAATCAAAACATGGCTGGTAAACTTTTGAGATTCAAGCCAAGCTTGAAGTTGAAAGGAAAAACACGATACGAAAACCATGAAGTAGGGCAGAATCCGATGAAAACGAATAATGCTCCGTCCATATAGATACTGCATGTAAGTTTGCATGAGACGTTATTAAACACTCGAAAATTGTTAATCAATCGACTCCATATAAAATAGCATTATACACAAGCAATCTTTGTTGAAAATCAAGGTTATATAGGGCGGCTTTTCTTTCCGAATATATCCGCCTTGGGTTGTATATAGTTTACAAGAAAACAAAATTGATAATTGATATTAATTGATATTAATAGATTTTTAAAAATTTCAATTGATATAATTTTAAAAATGGACCAGACCCTGTACCTCAAAAAAGATGGAATTCTCGCTTCTGATGGTGTACCGTATATCTTCTCTGTCCACCAGTTCTTGATATTGATCATTCGTAAAATAATTCTACAACACAAGTAAACAAATATTGTTAACTACTTCGAGGTATTTTGCGACTATATACAGTATTGAATACGGGTGCGTTTTCCAATGCAATGTATCTTTTATCTCCACTCACCTTAACCATAATATTCAACATTGCACCAGGATAGGAAATAGTAACCTTGCTTTTCTTAGGATGTGTTGTAGTCACCTAAAATATCAAGAACCACAGGTGGTGAATAGTCTTTAATTTGACTATGCCTTGAATGCTATAAGAAAACGTACCTGGAAATTTTCAGGAAAACTAGCAGGAAGAATGCACCAAATTCCGTCTGTATCAAGTTCCAAAGGACGACTACACAAATAAGATATATTAAACAATTATACCATGAGCTCCAGTTGTATATTTGCTGTCTTCTAATTTCTCTAGCGTTACATCAATTGTTCAGAAACACTCCGTGGGGCAACCTTTTTGTCAACAAGCTTCAATAATGACTATAGTTTTAAACGTGACAAGAAGCAAAAATGTTTATTGTCCCGTTGAAAGAATCGTTAAAGCTATAAAGTATATAACCTTGATAGAATGTTGTTTACGTGCTTTCTTGGGGGAAATAATTCAGTTTTCGTTATACACATGCAGTGCAAAGTAATTTACACAGTCACATTTTGTATGAGTTACCGTTAAATATCAGCTATCTTTTCTACTAGCGGATTAAAATTGAAAATGCAAGTGTTTGCTTGTTCGGCCGAAGGTGTAACGTAAATTTGTTTGCACTGGATGCATGCATACCATAGAAAGATGATGCATACCAAGACAACTGAATTATGTCACTATAGTAAAGCATGACGTAAACGAAATTCTGTTAAAGAGGTTATTTTATAGTTTTGACGATTCTTTTAAGTGAAATGCATCTAAAAATTGTTGCGAGTTTTTTTTCGGCAGTGAATACTCCATGCATGCAGTAAGAGTTTTATGCAGTTGCATTCGAAAGTTTGAGTATACTCTTTCGTCTTCATATATTTCAGTATGTTTTAAATAAACGGGTGACAGGCAAAAATGTGCGCCTACCCAATTTGTTCAACTATCTCTCTTGCCCTTTTTATGATGCTGGCACCAGTGCAACAAACAATACCAGCCATTTCCATTGAATACCAGCGGGCCCTGAAAACATTCATAAAAAGTTATCTACAAAGCAAACTAAGGTGCAATGTTATAGGTTTTTACTGTCAAGTGTGATATTCTATATGTCTTTGTAAACGTATGATTATTTAAAAAAATGGCCATCACGATAAGATTACCTCGACCGAAAACCGAACAAAGAAAATTACCCAAAATCGTTCAAATACATAGTAGTAAGGCCGCCATAAATTGAATGATAGCGTGTGGATTAGTTCACAACTGCCTATTGTGTATATTTCATAATGTAAATTATATATTCGAAATGTGTGCGATAAAGCGAACAAAAATTCACCGTTTTCTATAATTCACTTGCACACAATTCTCTATTTTTCCGTGAAAAAACCCCCTGATTTCATTAAAAAAATTCTTGTCATTGATTGCTTTTAGTGGGCAGGCATGGTTGTACTTTCAGTCAATATAAAGGGCGTCGTCCCGGGAGTACAAGTTAACTCCTGACTGGCAAGCTAGACCCCATATTGACTACAGAAAGTGCTGTGATAAAAATTTCGTAAAATTATACATATGCTTCAGAGAAGGGCTTTCAAGTAAATAACATACATGTGGTGTACATTAATGAAGAAAACACAACTTCATCAACTCACCCTTTTCTCATGACATAACCGTAGAAAGAATTCAGAATGCATTTATGAGCAAGCTGCAGTGAGTCATACAGAACTTCTTTACTTTTGCAACTACAAGAAAATTGGTTTATACTGCAGTATATGTAACTTTATTCCAAGAAAACTATAGTACAACACCCAAACACTTGACAGTACTCTTATATTCTTCAATTCGTAGACGTAGTTGAAATCGATATAGGTTTTAAGAAAAACTTCCAGCATTACACAACCTCATGTTTATCATGGTCATGGATGGTCTGGATCATTTACCTTTTTATTTCCTGTGCATCACCTTTATCCATCGCAGCCGATAACTTCTTTTTCCAGATCTTAAATAAAAGGATAGAATTTGTGATATCCCCAAATATCTAAGTCAGGGTGCATGAAGTAAGTGTTATATCATGCAGTCGACGCCGAAGGCCGAGACTATACTGTTAGTGATCAATATACACTTTCGGAGGGCGAAAAAAGGAGTACTCTTTGTCGCTCTTGTGAAAATTTTGTTGGTTATGGACGACCTCATAATCAGGTAGGATTTTGGGTGATGTCAGTGAAGTTTGGGTTGGGTTATAAACTACAGGCTCCTACCAAGACTACATGCCTTAATTGCTAAAATCCAGTCGAACATTGCCCATAATCAACATAATTAAAATACAATATTAAAATACATTAATGCCACGTGAGCGTTGCTACGACTCTTGTATTCCAGGTATCACGTGTATAAACAAATTATTGATTGATGAATTGATTGATTGACCCAATTAACTGCATGGGACACAATACTCACCTTAAGTTGTCCTTTGAATTCGTATCTACGATCTCGAAAGGCCCGCACAGTATCGACGTAAAATGAATTCTCTCTTTGACAAATTGTTGTTTCTCTTTCTTCAACTTTGGTTATTTTAGTCTTTTTGTAAGCTTTGTGACAGTATTCTAAAGAAATTGCAAACATTATAAATTCGGTTAAAGACATATGACACCAGTATTACGTTCTGCATTAATTAAACTTTTAGTGGAAAGAACTTCTAAAATGATAGAATAGCATTCTTTAAAGTTTTTCCATATCTCTTTCATTTTTTGAGATATTGAGTTTGGTTTGGACTGATGTAAACACGTTTTCTACGTCACATTGCATCACGAGTTTCTGAATGATCAGTACATGACAGCAATATATGGAGATACTTTACGTGCATCCAGCATCTGGCAAAATCTTCAAATCAACACAGCGGAAAAACGTCTGCGCATGCACCAAATTATGAAAATATGGCGGGGAATTTGAATATCAATTTCTAAAACAAAAACATGCTTATTAATTGGTCAAAATTAGTAAAACAAACGAGAAAATATAGCAAATGGGTAGACTAGACATTAATTGAAAGCGTCCTGGCATTTAAAGTATGGAATAAAATATAATTCATGTAAAAAAATGTTGATTTTAACGGACACGACTTCGAAAATTTTTGCAAAATTATTCAAAACAAAAATTCAAACTAAAAAGTTAAGAAAACTCTCGAAAAGTTAAGCTTCTTAACCCACTCATATTGTAGAATAAATCCTAAAGTTTAATTATTGTGAACACGCAAATTTTTTATATTTGGCGACACAGTTTTTTTTAAAGAAATGTATCTCAAACGAAAATTCGGAAATTGTCATTGCTTTAATAGTTGATAAACAAAATGTTTCACATGATAAATTTGTCAACAATCCAGGCCCGTAGCTGAGGCACAGAAAAGACAATGGTCTATTTTCTATTCTGTGGCTGAGGGGGGGCCTGGGGGGGCAATGCCCCCTCGCTCGGTGGGGCAGTGCCCCCCAGTGCCCCCCCACTCCGAAATTTGGTATTAAAAATAGAGATAAAAGATGTGGAAACCAATTGTAATCATGGGACAAATTCTGTAAATTTTGTGGTTAATTTTGTGATTTTTCGAAAAATTTTGTTAGTTTTCTGAAAAATTTTGTATGTCCGGAAAAAATTGGTATGTCCGGAAAAAATTAAAATGGTACACTGACCGAAATTTTTTTGGCGACGGGGGGGGGGCGCCAAATAAAATTAGGGAAAAAAAATTTTCTCATCTCAAACCCTCTGTTACATTCTTTCTGCAGTGCCCCCCCAGAAATTGAGAGCCAGCTACGGGCTTGCAACAATCACCTTTAGTTCATGTTCTTGTACAATACAATTTCTTGAACCTTCTGGCTGTATTTATTTCTAGTTTTTAGAATGACATGTTTATTTTTGCGCTTGAAATCTGGCTGTAAAGACGCACAATGAAGTCACTCCTTTTTACCGCCATTTTGAGCCTTCGGGAACGTTCGGAACAGCTTCTCATCAAGTTCGCAATACTATTACAGGTAAGGTTGACGCATGCGCAGACGTTTTTCCGCGGTGTTCTTCAAATCACTCAGAGATCTCGAGGATATATAGTGTAAAGTTTCTGCTGTCCAGACGCTGTTACTGGAATTCTTTACAGGGTGACACAAACTTCGGGCTTGATAATTTTTTATATCAACCTCATTCAAAAATTGTTAAATGTCAAATTTCATAAAGGGTAACAATAAGGGAAATAAGCATTTCGTGTAGCAAACCTGCAAGTCGTTTCTTTTCCATCTGCGCTCGTTCAGAATTCATTAAAGAATGAAATGATCGCGGAGGATCTCCAGGTTCTAAACCTGGGATTTTCTCTACTTCCAGCTGCTGCTTGATTGTCTGATATTCATTTCGACTTGCTGGCGCTGAACAAAATATGAGAAAGCTTTATTTATTTACGGAATATTGCAGATATTTACTGTAATTAAATATGCATGGATATACCATATAGATGAATGAATAAACACAAAAATAACTAAATAAAAACTAAAAAAGTATATAAATTATGGTTAAAAGATCATCTCTAAACATACAATATTCTCCTCTCCACATCCACTTCATATCACGTTGGCATTTCGCACCAGGTTTGTTAAAATCACATCTTGCACATGTTGTCTCATCCACCATTGCTGAAGGCTGTGGACAAAACGCAAATCATTAAATAAGATTCGTTAGGTACAACATACCACACCAAATCTTATTTATTTATTTAGCTTTGCCAACTAGGGCAGTGTCACCACAACAGCATATGCCAATTACTGTGGGCCCTTTCACCTAACCCACCCTGTCAACTTTCCCTGTGGGAGGAAACCGGAGTACCCGGGGAAAACTCACGACTTTCAGCAGAGCGTTGACTTTTACTCTTTTCACATGAGGACTGGGTTCGAGGCGCATTGAGAAAGTTCTCACTGAGGCTTGAACCTGCGGCCTCAGAAGTGAAAGGCAAGTGCACTAACCACTTGGCCACCGAAACTCCATTAAATTTGAAGCCCCATTAAATCTCATTTTTCTTGTGTGATTTGGAATCACAATATGGTAAAACATCCAAATACAACATATGCAGTTTTTAATATGACGAGACCTCGGGGGTTGGGCGATGTAAAATTTGGTAATCAGCAGGCGACCGAGAGGTTGTGCATGCAAACTTTCCCAAGGGCTGCTATGACGTCATAATTGTAAAACATAAGAAGCGGTGTTTTACAATATATTTCACCATATTGCATATTATCCAGTACTGGCGCAGCTAGGATTTATATTCTCAGTTTAAGTGATCTTTTATCAAGAAATTTAAGGCACTTTAGGGGGGTCCTTTTGAGCTGGGATCCCGAGGCAAAATGCCCTGTGCCCCCCCCCCTTCAGCACTGATCTAAAAGCTAGTAGTTCATCTGCTATGCATATATGAAGTTAATGGCGGTCATGTTGGTGTGGGAATCTTCTCTATGGTTATGGTTGCGTTTTGAGTTTTTTCCTGCTTGATAATTAGTACGTCCGGTTAGAACATCATATACCTGCAAGCGGTTTGTCAAAATTATATTGGGATACATAGCGCCGACGTCCAAATGATAAATCATCGGGTTTTCTAGCCGATTTGGGGTGTCTCGCAATGATTCGAGTTTTCCTTTGATTTCTTCACACACCTACATAAAAACATAACATAACGTACAAAGTTGTACTTCAGTAGAGCCTAACTCATGCGGCAAATTTTAATATAAAAAATATATATTTTTTATATTTTTATAGTTTTTATATTAAAATTTGCCGCCTGATTTGGGCTTTATTTTCAGCAGTAGCTTTTGGGCTCACTCGAACACACAACGTAAGAAAACATATTTATGAAGTAATGTCGGAGAATAGCATCATAGCATGCAATTTATTCATATTTATAAATTTTATATTATGGTCAGAATTTTTCTGTTCGTACGCTACGTCATGTAAATCGCACTACAATGGATAACAAGTCTACTTTTTTCTTTTCTTAAGACTTTTCTTCTTTGAATGTATGTTTTTTCTTACCTCTTCAAAGTTTGTAACTGTTTCAATAGGAACTCCTTCTTCTTCGACGATTGCATGACGTATTGTGCTTTCCACATCGTCCATTAACTGCTGACACGCTGGAGGGGCCTGGTATGAAAACGTAATCATTCATAATAAAAACCTGTCCAAAATTGAGCGATATTAAAGTTTAAAATTCGTATTTAATAAATGCCAGAATATAATAAGTATAGCACTGGCACTATTTTACCATGCATAAAGCCAATATTCCACTGGGCAAAGTCGCAAAGCGAAAAATAAACTTCGATGTTTGATCGGTTGATGAAAATATCGCTGCCAAAAAGTAGGATCGGTTCCCAGTTTTTCATGGCTATTTTTTTCGTTGGCCACCGAAATTAATTTTTCGAATTACGGTCTAGTTGTCAAGAACATAATAACGCCAAATCAAGACTTATAGTGTTAAATCTATTCGCTAATTCTCTTTCTATTTCACCGACATACAATTTTAACAATCCTTGCCCTGACGTTCTCCTCCACGTTATGTTTCTTATTTCATCTTAATATCCATATTATTCCTATACTTCATGCTTTTCATGCTCCTCGCCCCCACCCGCTCTTTTCTCGCTCTCTCGCCCCCTCGTTTTTCCTTTCTCTTATCTTCTTCCTCCCTTTCCATCCTTCACTTGTCACTCCATTTCCCCACTTACTCTATACTCCTCTTTCAACTTATTTCCTACATACCTGTAGATTTTATTTTTGTGGAGGTAGCCAATCTTCAAATGGAGCTAGCTAGGTTACGCTACATTCTCGTACCCAGAGCACGTCTTACAAACGGTCAACAGAGCATGAAGGGGGTCGAGGTATACGGGAATGGCTTGCGTCGCAACTGCAGATCAAGATTTACGCCTGTATTCTAAAAGCTCACTCACACTCAATGAGTGGAGGTTCAATCTGAGCTTCCCTTGAGAGTCAATGCTGTTTTTGAATAGCTGGACGGTGAGTAGTCACATAGTACAGTACGACACGAACCCTCCTCCAGCTATTCAAAAACAGCATTGACACTCAAGGGAAGCTCAGATTGAACCTCCACTCATTGAGTGTGAATGAGCTTTTAGAATACAGGCGTTAGCCTCTGAACGAGAACAAAATGCCAAGTGTGCGGCCAGGGTCTTCCTTTGAAAAATCCGAAACTTAACGCTTACTAGATACCTAGCTTTTTCATGATTTTTTGAGTTATACCTAGCTCCAAATGATTTTTGGAGTTAGCCAGTAACTCCACAATTCATATTTCAACTCAGTTGGTTTTGAATTACACAAGTTACTCAAGTGTATATATTTTGATTTGGAGTTAGCCCTTTAGACTTTGGAGATAGCGTCGCTCCATTGCTTCCTACTTTCTGCAGCCATGATTTTTTTTCCTAATCTATCTTCTTACATAATATTTCATTTTCTCCTTTTGGTCACGCTTCTGCAG